GGTAGTACCAGAGACAGGAGTCAGCTGCCTAGAGAAATCTGTAGTTGTGGCAGGAATGTGGAGTAAGAGTTAGAGCAAGAACCTTTTGAAATACTTCAGAGATAGATAGTACCTGAGGCACAGAGAAAGCAAGAACCCAGCTTTCCTCTACATCTAGCTCTCTCCTCTCCCTTTCAGCATCTGGCTTTCCCTCTGGCTGAACCTGCTAGGAACTAACACAGAAGCCCACAACTGCAGCCAGCAGGGGATAAGGCAAAGCAGGAGAGAGGCACCCATGGGTGTCTTCCCACAATTCTCCAGATCCGTCAAAGGCTAGGTAACTATAGAATATTTCAGTGCTTTTAATGATACTTACCATACCACATATTTTTATTATGGTTTATTCTAGAGGTTACTTTTCATGTTTTCTCCAAATCTGAAGGGCTATGACACAACTTTTTGTTGTAGCTATTATTTACCTCCACAGCATTTACCAATGTGTCACACATAAGAGACACTAAATTACTTTTTCTTTTTTGGAAAAATTCAATTAGGTCCCCAAAAGTTACTCTTTTAACCTACTCCCTTGTTTGATGTTTAATTTCTGCTTAGTCTTATTTGCACTGCATTTTTTATTTTAGTTTACAGTTGGTACTAACAGTTAACTGGAATTAAGTAGATCCAATTTTCCTTCTTAGAGGGTTAACTTGACAGACTAACAATGTGCACCAACTTTCATTGCAAGGGACATGAAACGCATCACAAAAATGTTCAATTGACATTTAAATGATGCATATCAAAAGGCCTTCAATATTACATTTGTATTTTTAGAGTGATTCCTTTTTCTCTTTTGAGATTTTACTAAAAGAATGTTTATATAGTATCCCTGGCACAAACCTTTTTACATTTAACAGTCGGTAGCTTTATAAAATCATGTCAGCTGGCTGAGTTCATGAATGTAACTAATCTCAACAAAATGGCAGGTTTTAAAAGTAATTGGCAAAACTGAACAGCAATCAGTTCATTGTGTCGATTCAGGATGCATATCCAGCTTCTTTTGACTGCCCAAAGCAACTATTTTAGCCATAGACGTTAGACTGGCCCTGAAATGGCAATATAAGGAACTATGTGATCCTACACTCACCATGAGAGTGACTGAACTCCTACCATGTGGTTCAGCTATATTGGTACATGCTATAAACCTAAACTACAACAAAAATATGCAAGATGCCTTACAAATACTTTATATCAATTAGGTGTGAAAATGATTACAATTTGGGCATATTAGATTAAACATAATGTTATCAAAATTAATTTCCTGGTTCTTTTTACTTTGGCTCCTAAAAAATTTAAATACATATCTGTGTTTAAAACTTGTGGCTGTCTTTATTTTTGTGTTAGACAATGCAGGTCTTGAGCAAATGAAGAAGTGACTGTTTCCTGAGACAGGACATAGCAACTAAAGGAGAAGTCATCTCTCCTTTTTAATTAGTTTTGTAATTGCAACAAATTCAAAGTCGGACTTTTAAAGAGATAAGCCTATTCTCTTTACTCAGGCAAAACTCCCACTGTGGTTTGTAAGAGTTCTGCCTGAGTGAAACAAATGAGATTAGGCCCATGATGTTTACTTCATACTAAATATCTCGTTTCCAAAACTTTTGTAGTATACTCTTGGCTACCAGACTGTACAAGTGCAGAATAGAGAAAGGATGAAAGAACAATAAAAGAACGATTTGAGAGTGTTGTTTTGAAACATGTAACTAGTGCTGTCAGCTGCTGGTTCTTTGCATTTTGTACATTTACATTTCCTGACTGTAGTTTAAGAACATTTCACTGCATGTTACTATCAATCATCCTTAACCTAGAAGTGCACTGTACATTAGTAACAGTTAATTGGCATATTTAAAGTAAATAGCTACTTAGTTTTGTTGTGAAGGTTTTGCATACAAATCTATAACACCACATGCTTTGTTTGTTTCAATAACAAACATTCCTGTCTACAACATTGCCACCTCTGACAGTAAATGAATAGAGATGCAATCGCACTGAAATACCCAGCACACTAGATGACAGACCAATGATGTGCAATGTGTAAGCAGGCACTCTTAGTCCACCAAATGATGCCCATACACAGGGAAGAACACAAAGACATGAAAAGGAGAGGCTACATGAAGCTTTAGCATGGTCAAGAAAGAAAAAGGAAAGGATACAATAGAAAGTGTAACTTCACCTATCCATTTTGTATGTGTTAATGAGCTAACAGAATTATTTAGCAGACATTATCTCCCATTTGTTCAGTGCCAGGTTCATACTCAACAGCAGTATGCTACTCCATATTCTTTTCAGTATCCAAAAACAAGTAGAACTGGGTGTCTTCCTTGGGCAATAGGGGATGGATTAGGAATTTGATAAAAGAAGATAAAATTATAAGGATTCCTTCCAACTGTGAAGTCAAAACATTTTTCTTAAAAACAAACAGTACCCACTATATTTTGGTTAAGTTCCAGTGCCCCCTAAACATGGAGACATAAATTTTTACTGGAGTCAACAACATTTCCTTTGTTGTACCAAGAAGTCAAAAGATGTGGCAGATGTGTGTAGAAGTGTGTGTGTGTGTGTGTCTGTGTGTGTGTCTGTGTGTGTGTGTCTGTGTGTGTCTGTGTGTGTGTGTGTCTGTGTGTGTGTGTCTGTGTGTGTGTGTGTGTCTGTGTGTGTGTGTGTCTGTGTGTGTGTGTGTGTCTGTGTGTGTGTCTGTGTGTGTGTCTGTGTGTGTGTGTCTGTGTGTGTGTCTGTGTGTGTGTGTGTCTGTGTGTGTGTGTGTCTGTGTGTGTGTCTGTGTGTGTGTGTGTCTGTGTGTGTGTCTGTGTGTGTGTATGTGTGTGTGTGTCTGTGTGTGTGTCTGTGTGTGTGTGTGTGTGTGTGTGTGTGTGTGTCTGTGTGTGTGTCTGTGTGTGTGTCTGTGTGTGTGTGTGTGTGTGTCTGTGTGTGTGTGTGTGTGTCTGTGTGTGTGTCTGTGTGTGTGTGTGTGTCTGTGTGTGTGTCTGTGTGTGTGTGTGTCTGTGTGTGTGTGTCTGTGTGTGTGTGTCTGTGTGTGTGTCTGTGTGTGTGTGTGTGTCTGTGTGTGTGTGTGTCTGTGTGTGTGTCTGTGTGTGTGTGTGTGTGTCTGTGTGTGTGTGTGTGTGTGTGTCTGTGTGTGTGTGTGTGTGTGTGAAGAAACAATATAAATAGTTGTGAATATGGTACACTGTCATGGTCCTTTAAAGTCCTATAAATCCACTAAATGTTTGAAATAAATTCAACTGATACTTGAATTAGAAACTGTAGTGATAGTATTGCTAGCACTATAATATTTAAATTCTACTACGAGGTTAATGAACTTAAAAATGGTTTTATGGAAATAACCTGAAGAGTTTATATTATTTCTTTGGGAAAATTTAAATCATAGACACCAAAAAGTTTTCCTTCCTATTTTATTTATCAATATCTTTGAGAAGCAGGATTGCCTGCACACCCTAGCTATGGCATTTCGCAATGCTTTGAAACATAAGGGCATGACCTGCAAAGGTCAGGCATTTTTTCTTCCTTCACTCCATATATCTTCATCTACCTAGTTAAGAAAAAGAGGAAAAGTTGTAAATAAGTTTGTCTCAAGCATTGTAAAAAATAGAGGAGAATTTCTCTTTCTCAGTAAAACTATCAAGAAGAATTTCCCATCTGTTCCAAATTTCTAATATTGAACTCTTCAGTTGAGGCCGTCTTTCATGGTTCACTGTGAATTTCTAAATAGATGTCTTGCCATCACTAACTCACAACTAGAAAACCAGAATTCTTTTCTAGCCCAGCGTTCTCAAAGACTTCTTTCCAATGCAGCTTCTCTATGCTTAGTGACATCATCCAAGTTGATGTTGGGTTGGGGCAGCACAGTCCTTCTTGTCATACAGCCTGTTCAGTTAGTGACTACACACTGTTCTTTCCCTTTGCAGCTTTTCCAAGATGTATTCCTTTCTTTCCACAACTACTGTTAGAGCTCCTAAGTTGTGGCTAACACATAACTAAATGATTGTTTTACCCTCCTCTTCCTGGGTGGATCCATTGTCTCCTTTTTAGTCCATCTTAGATGAAATGATGAAATTGTAGACAGTACGTGATACTTCTTCAACTATCTGTGGTGGTAAACAGGGTTATTTCCCTCAGTCCATCATGAACGGATACTGTTGTAAACTAAAATACAATAAAGTACTGGAAGAGTGATCACATTCTTGGCTGTCACAGTTATGTCAAACCGCTACCAAAGTTTCTAACGCTTTCTCTCAGTTTTTGCATCTGTCTTATCATAGACATTTGCCAGTTTGCTAGTCAGCATCAGCCTGCACACGACCCTCTGATTAGCACCTATGAGCTACTATCTATGTAATCAAGGTTATTTACTGGCTTGTAAATAACCTTGCATAGTTCTTATCAAGGTACTGAAGATACACAAATCTTTGGTTAAAGATACACATGTGTTTGGTTTATTGTGTTCAGATTGGTTGCTTCCAGAAAAGGCCTCTTTTCTCTCCTATTAAATATCTTTTGATTTTAAAGTACTTTAAAATCCAATAGGTGTTTTATAAAATTGTTAAAGATTTATAGCAAAGTATCAATCCCTTGATCAAAGTATGAGAGGGCAGGAAACTTGAAACCACTGTAGCCACAAAGGTCTTATAAAGAAACAGAAAAATGACACACATACACAAAATATCATTCAAACATATTAAAGAGAATATTAAGAATAGTTTGCAAAGGGATATACAAATTGTATCCAAGTTCTTTTCACTAAGATGTCCAAATTCAGTACTGAAAAGCAACACAGAAATAAGTTCTGTGCACTATCCTTTTGTATCTAAAATTTCTTGAAAATCATCAAACTATTTATTTTAGGCAATATCAAAAAATATCCAGATAAATTTCTGAAATTTGAATCATATTACTGATCTAGTATGTTGCAGAGATACAAAGTGACATCTCCATGAGATACTTACCTTACAGTTATACTTAAGCATGCCATTTTTTTATGAACTAAAATGCAGATAGCATTGCCCTCATCCACAGGCTCAAAGACTGATAATAATCATTCACTTCCTTCTGGATTCCATCGTTTCAGCCAGATTACTTTTCATACTGTTTCTTCATATACTTTGCAACATGATCACATCGCCTTTTTCTTCAAAACTCTGGCAGATTGTTTGGGCTAGAGATAGATGGAGACAAGAGGCACCATCTGGTGCAAGATCTTTATTCCTTGTTAGCACTACAGGAGTTCTGGTATTTTACATGGTTCAAACAGTAGCAAAGATTTTTTTTTTTTAAATGCAGATTCAGAAGGTATAAGATGGTCAAATGGCCCTTGGCATGGTCTGATCTTATCACCGGCTTTGTTGGTGCAGAATTGGGGTTTTTTGTTGGTTTCCTTTTCAAATCAGACAACCAGTGGCATATGGTTTCATGATTCACAAAGATGGTCCTGGACTATAGATTTGACGATCTCAACATAACTTCCAGGCTTGCCAGAGCTATGTTACAGCACAGAGAGCAAATAGCTCGTGATATTTCTCCTCTGATGAGTAAGCTCCAAAATTTCAGGCTGAAATTTGATCTGGAATTGAAAGAAAAGGAACCATGTCTTCCCAGGCCAATGTCTATGCTTTCTTTTCTTTTTTAGAGGTGAGTGTTTATTTGTGTGTTATTGACCCACGGCTTCAAGACCAGAAGAGTAAATAATGCCTGGTTCATTTTGTTGACACATACTGAATACATTTTTGCTGGTTTCCATATCTTTCTTATTCTTTGTAAGTCTAAACTCTTTCTGAAATATAGGTATGTTCTAAAAATCAGATGACTATTTAATAGAAAAAAATTCCCCTTTCATGCACAATTAAAGTCAGTATTTTCTAATGGAATTAACTAAGACTTGGGAACTATGAGATTTGCCTAATAATGCTAAGAAGCTAACTCACAGCTACCTTCTGAGGATAAGTGAAAAAGGATCTGGAAAGTGTCTTGGCAACAAACTAAAACATACCAAAAATGGGGCTTATACAAGTTTATCTTGACTGAAATTCAAGAATAAAGTAAAAGGGAGCTCTCACTTATTGGCTGCTGATTTCAGAAGGCTACTTTGAGTTACTGCTGTTAGAATTCATTGCCAAAATCTGAAGTGCCTTTATAATGATCACATTATAATCTCTGAACTGCTCTGCCATTTTGCTGTACATGTATGGTTCCCATTCCCTCCCTCCCCCTCCTTGCACCCCACAAGCCATTTCTTTTCATTCCAAATTAAGTCCTCACTTCTCTTTCATGCTTCCTCATACACTTTCTCACCTTCAGGATCACCTTTTTACACAGTTTGCAGGAAACATGAATTATGATTTTTTTCTACTAACTCTTTGACCACCTTTTCCTGATATCCATCAATCTCTCACTGAAAGCCTCCCTTGTTTTGATATCAGGAAATGGTGCAGTTATCAGTTGGAATGACTTGAAATGAAGAAGTAAAAGAAGAAATAATAGAACATGCCTAAGATAAACAGGGTGCTATTTTGAAGAATATGGTTGTCAATATGACAGCAGATGATAGATAAAATCAACATTAATAGTGACAACCCCTTGGATTAGTCACATAGTTGATATGAAGTATACATACAATTCAGAAATTCAGCAAGCTATGCAAATAGATATTCATTAATTCTATTTAGCCAAGAGTTATACCACTATTAATTTCTTTTTATCAGTCCAAGAGCCAGAGGATGTCACAAATTTTAGATCATTCTTCTAAAAATCTAAAAATTTGTAAGGAGTCTTATTTTTATGTTAAAAGCAAAGAAATTTCATTGAAGTTCAAAATTATCTGTATACTTCCCACAACCCTCAGATGCAGTTGAAAATGGGACTCAGTTTCTTCCTGAACCACCTGTCCCCCCAAAAAAAGCAAAAGTAAATATGCATCACTCTATCTTGATAAAGGAGAAAGCCTTCTCTCACTAGCAGCTCATCCCTCCTCTACTCTGTATGGCGCTAGTGAAACAGAAAGTGGAATCCAGGGGTGACCAACATTAATGTGCTTTAAATTGTAATAACTTTTGAAATCTTGGCTTGGGGGATAAATCTGAAGCTAGTGACAAAATTCAGGATCCAATTTGCTATCAAATGGATCCTCTCAAAATCTCCAATAGTTCCTCAAAGAGTATAGGATAAAAGCTACACTTACCAAATTGATTTTTAAAGTTCTTCACAATCAGATTGCAACTTTTCTTGCCAGTGTTTCAACTGCAGTTTTTATTTGTTAACCCTCAATTCCCAGTAGAAAAAAAATCTATTCACTGTTACTTTAAAACTTCCTAGTGATTCTGGTTTTACAATCTCATGTACAGATATCTCTTTGGGAGATGTCCATCTCATTGTCTCTCAGCTGATCGAAACAACATCCTCCCTTTGGTGTGTTCATAGAAATGGCACACACCATTTGTATTTCCTGCCCAGCTACTCTAGATCATAAAGATCTCTTTTTCCCCGATCAGCTAAAGATCTGATCTTCCAGGCTACCCACTAAACTCTTATTGTAGGCTGTCACTGGGTGCTAGGTTAAAATTTTTATGTGTGTCCTATTCTCTCTACCAAAGTCTACCAAGTGCTGTGGTGAAGTTTCAAGATGTAAGATACTTGGAGATAATCACTTATTTCCAAATTCAACTTTTGCAGAACTGAGAAAAGGCATTCATTATATTTGTCAATGGATCATTTTATCAAATTCATGCATTTAAAATTTAAGGGCATTAATCAATGTTAAATATTCAACTTCAAGTTTCTCTAATTTTAATTTTATCAAATTAACTCTAGCTTTACAAAACCATATTAGTAGGCATAAATGTGAAGCTAACATAACATCTTAAAATCTAATTTAGTAAAATATAGTTTGAAAGTTTAAGGAAAAAAAAGAGAGATGAAGTAACAATTTCCTGTCAGGTGTGGTGACTCATGCCTGTAATTCCAACATTCAGGAGGCAGAAGCAGGAGGTTTAGGAGTTCAAGGCCAACCTAGGTTACATAGGAAGGTCCAGTCCAGTTTGGACTATGAGACTTTGTCTCAAAAAACAAATTTTTTCCTTAAAAAATCTTCAGGGATGTACTGTGCTTTTAAAGACATCTTTTTAATAGTTGGCTATCAACACAATATTAAGAGCGTTGTTTTGGTTAAGGGAGCTAGATTTCCATCCATACCATTAATCCCAACAGATACTGCAAAAATAAAACATGCAAATAAGTTTGTGTTGAAAAGATGCTGAGACAAACCTGATCTATATATGCTTACCTAAGCTCTGAAAGAAGCATTATCTTAAGTAAGCTGGGACAATGGAGCATTCCAGAAAAAATTAGGGAAAGTAAATCAGGAAAGGTGACAGTTTATAGAAAAACAAATACAGTGACAATGACAAATTTTACACCAGCTGAAATGTGATCTCTATATAGAAGTAGTACACAAGTTTGTTATGCCATGGTAACAATTTCCATTCAGCCACTCATTAATTCAGTCAGCCAACCAATTAGATTGACCTCCCCCAATTAAATGAGTGGTTGATTGAACTTACTACATGCTTAGGCATTAAAAACTTTGCTCATAACTTAAAATGGCCTTAGAAGTCAAAGAGTTTATAGCTGTGAAAAGCATTCTCTAAGCTTAAAGTAACATATAAAATGTTGTGCCCCAAACTACCAGCTGTCTGCCAAAGATGTGTGCTGCCTCTCCACAGGGCAGAGTTGTGGCTGGAAAGTGACCACCCAGCCAAGGATTACAGTTCCTGGTCTCCTTTGCATTTGGTGATGCTGGGTGACTAGTTCTTGTCAAAGAAAATGAGCTTAAGTGGCAGGGGTTATTTGGGTATGACACTGTTCTTCTACTATCTGCCCAGGCTCTTCTTCATGTGCCTTGGTCACTGCTCTGTTCTGGTCACTGGGAGAAAGAGATTATGTCCTAACATAAGATTTCTTTCTTAAGTCTTACATTTTATTTCCATTCACTTTTATTTTTTCCATTCAAATCATAAAGGGATACCTAGAAAAGAACCCAATTATAGGATAACAACAAGGACCACTAACTATGAGTCATAATTCAACCTTTGATTACAATAACTGTAATGATAATAGTGGTGATGGTAATGATGCTAATGAAAAGTGGAAGGTTTTGTTTATTTTTAGAAAAAAAAGATTATATTTAAAGTTTTTGTTAAAATAAATACCATGTTCCAAAGATTTTCATTGTAGTCTTTCAAAAAAATTATGATTAAAATTGAGCGAAACAGAATTTAAGCAACCTCTTTATGACCAGAAAGGGAAGACTGTTAAAGCTTATTGAATTCCCCAACCCCCCAAGGCATTTGTTGTTAAGGCCTCTAGGGCATTAGCATAGCCTGGTTTTAAAGTTGCTGATTCAAACCACAGTCCATCCCAGTAAGGCTCCTGGGGTGTCCTTTTACTATACAGTGCAAAGACTTGCATGTCTTCCTAAGAACCTAATTTAGAATGAAATTATATGAGCTTTTATCCTTACCACAGTCTCCTGGAACCTGCAGCATCACCCACAACTTGGACCAGGGAAGAGTCTAGTGTGAAGATTTTGTGCACTGGAAAGGAGGAAATCAAACTGTATGCGTTCAAAATGTCTTGGAAGTGAAATACACTTTACCTAATTGTTCTACAATTTCTTTAACTGCTGGATAATATTAGCATTTGCAAGGGAAGATAGGCAGTAATGTAGCTAAAATCTCATTATTTTAAATACACACCACTTTCCCTTTGTTTGAACTGACTTTTCCCCATTTTTTCCCAACTTGTACCATTATTTTGGGTTCCCAAATATAATAGTGTTTCTGACCATTTTTAATTGCATCATAATGAGTGTTTAAGCACAGGAGTGTGTGCAAACAGAGTTTGCTAGTCTTTGACTGTTCCTTGCCTCTGGCCTCTGTCACTGAGACTTGCTAACTGTGTCTCAGGGGAGCAATCACACAGCTTGACTCAGCCTGTGGCCCTGACTATTGGGACTTCCTGAAGTCACAACCACTTTGGCATCCAGAACTGGGGCACTATGTGTCTACTCTTCATGAAATTCCGAGATTGCAAGGAGAGTGTGAAATGCGAGCGCTGATTAGGGATGCACCTTAAATGGTATCAAGGGACCCAGTTAGCAATGCAAAAGATGAGATAATACAAACATAACATTCACTGCCTGTCAGTTGATTACTTATGTGAGCACCACAGAAAGCAAAATAGAGCAGAAAAAAAATTGGGGGTGATCAGCAACATATACAAGATTTCCTCAAAGATAATTTTGCATGAAAGTTCAGTTGGATAAAATGCATAATAAAATGACGTGGAATGACATGTCAGCAGAATTTGATATGTCTATTTGTCTTTCTGGAGCTCACTTGGTATTAATCATTTCTAATGGATACATCTTCTTTTATACACACTCCTTTCCTTTCTTGCTTGTTATTGATTAGGAGAATTTGAACTGAGAAAGGTAATTATTAGGGCTCTATTTAACTTCTTATGTGACTACAAAAGTGTTTTCCATTTCACTGGTAAAATGCCAAAGTAATATTCAGGAATTTCTTTTTTAGTTATTGGTTTTTAAAGAACATAGCATCGTGCATAGCAGAGGATCTCTTCCTTGCTTGGTATTCTGCTGTAGCTACTCTCCTGTCAGCCTAGGCTTTCAGACAAGAGAAAAAAGTCTTTCTAAAAGCCTTGGCCTAATTAACAAGAATGAACTAGATTTTATGATGAACAATTTATAGGCAGTTAATAGAGCTCATATATGGTAGCCAGGAGCTAGATAATTTATCATAAAAGGAATCTCAGTTATAATCCCCGCTCTCTGAATATTGTAACCAACTGTATTCATATTGTCACTTTGAGAAGCTTTGATTTACTGACAAACGATGCTACATTTTATACAGTCTTAAGGAAAACTGTAAATGCAATAAATACTTGTATTTCTGCCCATTTGCTTCAAATTATTTGCCAAATAATTTACTCTACTAAATTGTCACTAGATAAAATAATAATCTTCAAAGATCTTCTAGGAATTTTTCATCTTAGCACAAATAATAAAAAATAGGAACTGTCTATTCACCATACTAAGATTTGTTTAAAAGAAACTGGTTTTTCCTTAAAAGAGCAATGCAGCTGTTGCAATGAGTTATGAACGGACAGGGCAAATACTTCTTAAAATTATAAGTAAGATAATATTGCAAATGTTCAAAAGTAATTTTTTTCATGGTACTGGAGTTTGAACTCAGAGCTTTTTGCTTGCTAACTTGAGTCATTGCCCCCAGTCTTTCACCTTGAACTGTAATGCTCTTACCTGTGTTTCCTAAGTAACTGGGATTGCACTACACCCTCCTGTTTGCTGAGATAGGATCTCATTAACTTTTTTGCCCAGCCTGGTCACAAGTACTTTTTTAAAGGACAGAATTTGAAATAAGTGAGGCCAGGGAGAATCCTTCACATCATCTGTTAGCAGTTTGTATCCTACTGCTGGTCCTGTTTTAAAGCTGTGAAAAAATATATCACACCCTGGGGAGGGGGCAAAATTGGGTAATTGTGCATACACTTCCACCATATTAACAGCATCTCATGTATCCAGACCTCTCCACAGGGAGTTCTTGAGATTCTCAAATCAGAGATCACCTCCAGGAAAACTCGCTTGACCACTGGTGTCCGTCCTATATGCTTTTTTACTACCCTCTTCTTCTTTCTACCACAAAAACAAATACAACCAGTTGTAATTGCCTGGTTATTGTTCATATCCCACATTGACCATGGACTCTAGGACAGTAAGGACCACTGTATTCCCAATACTGAGTCCAGCACAATGCCTGGGACATAATGTTGTGAATGAAATATGTTCTGATTTCCAAAGACTGTTAATATAAGTAAGAAAAAAAATATCGTTATGGAATGTATGATGAATGAATGCATTTGATTATAGCAATCGATAATGAGGGTTAACGGCATGGTTCATGCTGCTTAGCAAGCATGAGGCCCTGAGTTCAAATCCCAGTACTTCTATAAAAAAAAAAGAAGAAAGAAACCAACAATGACTTGGTCTGTATTCAAAAAGTAGAACATTCAAAAGTCATAACTTACTCTATTCCTTTCTCATGACCAGCATCATAAATACATTTAAACATTGTGTTGTGTTTACGTCTTTCACACTTTAAAAGGGACATTTTGCAAGTAAAAAAAAAGAATAAAGAATGATTAGAATAAAAATCCAGAAGAAAAGGTTAGAGAAATATGAGTGTTTAACCTGAAACAGATGTGCTAAATATAACATTAATCATGATCTCTGGGGACAAAAAGTGTGGCCCATTCCTCAAAGGGACAGAGCCATGGGCCATACTAAAGTGGTTTAGGCCCCGGAAGTAGCAGCTTCCTGACCTAACAGGTATGAGATATGAGATTACATGTCTTTGGTTCCACTCAACAGAACATTTTTCAAGTGATTACAGCATTATTTGTGCCTGCCAGGCAAACAGTTTTTGTATAGCCGATCAAATTACAAACGTGGTCAATTTTATTTTATCGTCAACTATTCCCAAGTATCAAATACACCCAAGGTTTCTCATCTCTTATCTAGAAGAATAGATATATAGGTTCTCTTACTTTTACAGAAAATATATATTTTTAGCAAAAAGGAAAATGATCCCTTTCTCTCCCAGATTCTCTCCCTCACCACAGCCAAGTCTCTAACAACTGTACCAGAAGTCAGACCCATGGTCGCCAAATCACCTAAGAGAAGATACGTTCCCAGCACACCCAGCATGGCTACAGAATGCGGTGGAAAATTATCTCATTCTTTGACAGAAACTCCATTCTCTTCCCTGTCATGAGGTGCAGAGACACAATGCAGAACACGCTCCTAACAATGTCTACTGAGAATGCCAGTCCAGTAGGTTGTGCTATCCTGTGACGCCTATGAGCAGATGGAACCAACAACTCTCCTCTGAATCAAAATAAAACCTTAAAACAATGGGGTTTTTTGATTCCTGATGTCAACTAAAAATAATATAGATGGTTAGTTCAGACCTAATGTTCACCTTGGAAACTTTTCCTAATTGTACCTATCACCAAAAGTGTCTTTTTTCCAAATGGAATTGGTCATTGACATGTGGATGTGCTCCTAATAGCAAAATAAAAATATTCCCTGCCTGAAGCATTATAATAAAGTTGTCTTCTTCCATTCCATTGTTTCAGAACATTTAATCAACTGACATGACATCTGGGACAGGTGAAAAGAAGCCACCTCTATTAATTTATAATTGTAACAACCATTAACTTAATGATGGCATATTATTATTATTACTTTAACTTACTTTAAGCAGAGTTTTAGATTTAATTTTATTACTGGTGTTATGCTATAAACTCATTTGGGATTCAAAGATAGAAGCCTAGATACGTTTTAAGCTTGTTTCCATTATGAAAAAAAAAATCCCACCCCAAGAAAAATTCTAAAATGAGTGAATTTTGCCCAGAAAGTACTTTCCCATTTAAGTTTTCTACCATCCACCTAATTTCAAGTATCTCAGATCTTTCTTCTATCAAACTCTTATCTAAATTTAATATTAAAAAAAAGTTTAAAAGTATATTTAGTTCTTCTAACATAGAACTAGGCACATAGTGGAAGCCCAAAATTGATTAGCTCCTTTATTTTTGCATTTCAAAAAATAATATATTATCAGTTATTTTCAAATTCATGAGAATATCAATCAATAATTTTCATCTACATGCAGTAATATGTCTTCCAAAATAATAAAATGTAATCTTTGTTTTCCTATTAAATAAAATGTATATGCATTTTTGTGTAATGTGTGTTTAGATGGGGAGAGAAAGAATAAAAAGTACATACACTATTGTGGTTATTGAAGTGACACGGAATAAGAGGTTGTTAGCTCCACCTACACATAAAACCAACTTTGCCCCTTTGTCTCTGTCCTCTGACACCTGAGAAGTTTCGGTTTCCCTGTCTTTATCTTCCTGAGTTTACAGCAGGAGTCTGATGGCCCTATCTCCATTCTGACAGCAGCCAGCTAAGTAATGACAAGGCAAGGCTTGTCGCAGGCAGACAATGGGAAGTAGATAACTGTTAAAAATGCTTAATTCCAAACATGGAAATGAATTAGCTGAACTGCTTTGGCAGTGATTTTCTCAAGTAACGAATAACATGAGGAAAGGCATTCCTTAGCACAATAGTGTGTACTGACAAGTGGTTGGATTCATCCATTTAACATGTTTTGCATAAGTGGTGATTAATAGTCCACATTTTTTTGATAGTATCCCCATCTTATTGTGAATTTTAGGTCTTAAACAATGATTGGGTTTCAAATATTTGAGAGCATACCAGACAGGCCTCTTCCACCCAATTACCAAAAATACTACAAATATTTGTAACCCACGTTTCTTTCCCCATCAACTTTATAAAATGCTATACACACATACACTCACATGCAAATTCTTTGCTGAACATAAGTATATTCACAGAACCATTGTCATTTTCTTGTTTGTGTAGGTAAAGAATTTGTTCAAACAAGAATTAAATTAAATTAATGTACAGTTTAGAGCATTTTTGAATGGCACACCCTAGCTACAGAAAGTGGGCCACTCATCTAAACATCTTAGTGTTTTGATATAAGCCCTGTCAGATAGAAGATTCTGTGATACCAGCTACACTTCTTTTGAAAATGTCATCTAAGGTATAAATTGATTTTCTGCCTCAAATGTAGCTGCTGCTCTGAGAAATCTCCTATCCTATTAAAAGTGTCCCTATTCCACCTCCATCTAGACAAGAGTACATGATGGAACTGACATATTTGTAGGATGCAAAGTTCTCACTGATTCATTCATTTATTCAACAACCCTACACAAATCACTACTCAGAGGCTGAGGATATATATAGCAGTGAACAAGGCAGTAAAGTTCTGTGCTCTCATTGAACTACTTGCCAGTATGAGAAAGTAGATAATAAATAAGTTAAATAAGATGAATTCAGATACTGTGTTTTGAAAAAATAAAATAATATAGGGTAATGCGATGAATATTATTTTGCATTAAACAGCCAAGGAAAAACACCTACCAATGTTGTGGCATTTGAACAAATCATAATGAATCTGGTACAAAGGACATGGTATTTAAAGACAGAAAGAAGACCATGTTCTTGTTTTTGTAAGAGACTTTAAGTCAGGTATTTGAAAGCCTCCTACATTTTAACGTGGAATTGGTAGCCCACTGGGACATTTTTCAGTATCCCTAAAAAGGTTCACACAGGCTCAACTTGATGACTTTTTCTGTTATGATATTTGTATCATGTCTTACCCCACTACATATGCCTTTCTAAATATAAAGGCTCAAAAATCAATAGTTTGCAACCCTATGTGCACATTAGATTCAAGAGTCCCTTGAAAAAATACACATGGGTGTGTCCTACTCACATTAATTCAATCTGAACCTTTAGAAAAAGCTTGAACAACAGCATTTCTAACAGGTCCTCAAGTTATTTGAATCCTCACTTTGCTGGCATTGCTCTAGATGCTAAAACAAACAGCCTAAGAATTATCAGGAAGGACTTGTAGGTGCCATCTGCAAGGGGCTAGAGAAAGAGCTGTAGGAAAAGGGTCTTTAAGAGGTGATAAAAAGAGCAGTTGTCTCTAGACAGATGTTCCTCTCTCATAGAAAACTACCTGATAAAAGAAAAAAAAAAACTGAAACAATTCAACATTTTCATAGATTTATCCCAGGTGATTTAGCATAAGAAGCTAAAAAACAGACGCCAAAAAAATTTTTCTAAAAAGTTGATGTTATCATCAAGCCAGTTTCAGATTACAGAGGATGTGTGTGTTTGTGGTGTTACCACTTCTTTTTCAAGTTATGCAACAAAAATCACATTCTCTTGAGGTTAAGTACTGCCCTACTCTCTTCAAATGATTTTAAATCTCACACCTCCACCCACATATTAAATTAGTTCAAACTAGATGGAGGTTAGTGTTTTAGGTTAGAATGACTGTCTTGCACAAGACTTTCCTTGCATTGCCCATAACTATTGCTTTTACCTTTAGGTCTATGAGTGCTTTGCTAAGTTCAGACATAAAAGTATGCATAGGCTGCTCTAACTCTTGCTCTGAACTACAGTCTTTATAGCATTACCACATAGAGAGAAGCTCAAAAAATTGGTTATGAATTTGTCATTAGGAAGAAGCAAGACTGAATTTAAACATATGAATCACTTACTTCTCATTTTCTTTTTTCTGCTGTAACATCCTAGAATGCCAAATTTTGGCACCATCGCCTCCTTTCTTCCTCTAAATGTCTTATGTTTGATTTGGCTGAAGTGTAAGTACCTACAAGAAAAAAAAGCATATCTTACTTTGCTATCCCTCAATGACCTTTCTGTAGCTAAGCTAGGACCAGGTACACTGACACAATGAGGACTTAGAAGATAGGAAATAAATGGAAGTGATTTTTGGAGGAGTCTTCTTATCTAGGGCACAAGACTAGAGCTTGATTAAAGTTGTATATGCAGAAGGACGCTGTAGAATAAGCCCAGTAAACATGTTTCTGGATCTATTCTAGAAGTCAATAGTTTCAGAAATAGGAAGAAAGAGCACAGAATTTGAATATAGTACTAGATTGGTAAACTCAGACATAGAATAACAAATACTATGAGACCTCACTATATGTGTAATCTAAAAAAGTAAAAGTCATAGAACAGAAACTAGAATAGTAGTGGCCAGAGGCTGGGGCAGGAGGAGGAAAAATGAGAAGATATTAATCAAAAGGTACAAAGTTTCACTTATGTGGGATGAATCAATTCTGAGAGCTAATTATGACGACTTGTGATGGTGACTACAGTTAATAATGTTATAGGGGTTGGTGAAGTGGCTCAAGTGGTAGAGCACCTGACTCTACCACTAAGTGTGAGGCCCTTAGTTCAAACCCCAGTACCACAATAATCATCATCATAATGACAACACTATAACATATACTTGAAATTTGCTAAAGAGTATATCTTAAATGTTCTCACTACAAAAATAATGATAAATCTGATAGGTGGCAGATATGTTTATTGGATTGATTTTGGTAATTGTTTCATAACCTGTGTGTGTGTGTGACAACAAAGCAACACATTGCACAGCATAACTACATGCACTTTATTTTTTTCTTTATTGTTGTGCTGGGTGGTGGTACACTGGCATTTACAAAAGTTCTTACAATGTACTAAATATATCACATTTGAATTCACCCCTCCACTGCTCTCCTTTATTCCACCTCCCCTGGTTCCTGTAACAGTTTCAACAAGTATCATTTTTGCATTTACATACATGTATACAAATTATTTTCACTGTATTCATCCTCCTGTGCTCTTTCCCTACCACCTCCCCCTTCCACTGGTGCCAACCCCCACCGCTGCCCTGCCCAGTAGGACCTGTTCTGCCCTCCTCTTCTCCAATTTTGTAGAAGAAAAAAGACAAAAGAAATACATGTTTTTGCTAGTTTGAGATAAAGATAGCTACACAGGAAGTTTTCTTGTGATGTTTTCATGTATATATATATATTACAACCCCAATTGGTTCGTCTCCTCCAGTCCTCTTCACTCTTTCCTAGCCCCTTCCCATGATGGCCCCAACCAGTTTAAGATTTCTATATTCATTCCTGTAAAGAGAATAAATCAACCACATTTAAGTTTTTAGTTTCCTTCCCTTCCTCTATCCCTCCAGTGAACGACTTCCCCTTAATGTGACCCGTGTCCCATAATATTACTGAATATGTTTTTAGGTCTATAATCTGCATATGAGGGAGAACATGCAGCTTTTGGTTTTCTGAGCCTGACTTACTTCACTTAAGATGATGTTCTACAGTTCTGTCCATTTATTTGCAAGTGACAAAATTTCATTTTTCTTTGTGGCTGAGTAAAATCTCCTTGTGTATAAATACCACAATTTTTTAATCCATTTGTCAGTAGAGAGGTATGTTGGCTGTTTCCATAACTTAGTTATTGTGAACAATGCTGCAATAAACAGGTGCTTTTGTTGTAGGCTGACTCACAATCCTGCAGGCATATTCCTAGGAGTGGTACTGCTGGATCATATGAAACTGCATACAATTTTTATGTGTCAGTTACACCTCACTATGAATTGAGAGGGGGCATGGAGAAATTTCAGTAATTCTTTATAAAATGGGTATGGAGAATTGCAAAATGAAAAGCAGCTCAACAGTGACTGGCACAGTAAATGCCTAGTAAATAATACCTAACATTATAATAATCCAATATTGTTATATTTAAGAAACACTTAAAACATTATACAGCATATACATGCATCTAACTTTACACTGTACTCCAGTTATATGTACAATTTATATATTTTTAGGTACCAGTTAACATAAATTTAAAAGTAAACAAAAGTGTTAAAAAGACTTACTACAGATCTTTGAAAATCCAGAATGATAGGAGATATTAAAAAGTTTGGTAGAGGCAAAAGGAAGTCTCTGAAAGATTAACTGAGTCGCACTGAGCAGCGGAATTAAAGGGAAACACAACCTATAGGGGAAGAGGACTTCTCTTTTCTTCTTTCTTATAGCCCCTGAGATTCATTTTTTTCCATCCTTTTTGCTGACATTACAGTGTTAAAAGTCTTCATATTCTAGAAGCCACACAGTGTGATGCAGAGAAAAGGACCCAGGATTTAAAATCAACACCTGTGGATTCTGGTCTTATTAGAAGAAATATCTTAACATTGAACAAATACCTGAATCTCTGCAACCTTCCTTTTGTTCAGTTATGATTATCCTTAGTCTTTAATGCTGTTATTCATGGAAAAAAATTTGTTTTGAGTTAAGGTATCTTACAATATTGTTTTCTAGACAATTTAAATTTTTTTTTCAAAATGAGCATTTGCAAGATCTATATTCTTATAACAACTTTATCCTTCTTGCCAAGATATTTACTGCTAAACTAATTAATCAATTAAAAAAAAGGAAAATTACAGTAGTTCCTTGGGATTCACAGGTAAATGGTTCCAAGGAGACTGCTGTTGAGGAAAAACGACAAATACTCAGTTTACACAGAGTTCAGTACACTAAAATTACTTAAATTTACCTATATCATATATACAGCAGATCTGAGCATCCACGACTTGAAACTGGCTGGAGTAGGTTACACACTGTCACAAAAATTACTATTGTACACATTAATACTGCTCACCAAAAACTAGATCTTATTTCATGCTTTTATCTCAAATACTGAGGATGTTTGATTCATTTTTTCCCATGATGTCAAACCTCCACTAAAGGCATGTCACCTTCTAACAAATCTAAAATTTTCAGTTTAGGCCTTACTTCAATTAGGCACAGTATGTGACCTTTTGGCTTAAGAAGATTACTATAGCTTTTACCACTTGCTTTTTTGGGTACCATTCACTTTTTGGGGAGACACATTTTTACAAAATTAAGGATAGGGAAATACTAAGCAGATCACACAATGATTTAAGCACAGTAAACAGGACTGACTGAGAGCTTCTCTGCTTTAACTGAGCGACATAGTGTGCACACAGGAATCTTAAACTTTTGTTTTTAAAATTTATACTTATTTATTTGACCACAGTTGGGCTTACTGTAATATAATGTGCAATACTTTCTGTGTTAGTCTGCTTTCTAATTGCTATAACAAATACCTGAGAAAACCAATTGATAAGGAGAGCTTTATTTTGGCTTCTGGCTTCAGAAGTTTTAGTGCATACTCTGCACCCATTGGTTTTGGACCTGTGGCAAGGCCACACATCATGGTCAGAATTCCACGGTGCAGCAAGCTGCTCACCGCACAACCCTGATGCTAGAGGAAAAAGAAGAGGAGAAGCTGGTTATTTCAGTACTTCCCTCAAGGGTATACCTCCAATTACCTAACTTCCCTCCACCAGGTCCTACCACCTAAAGGTTCCACTACCTCCCAACAGCACCGAAGGCTGGGGACTAAGCTTTCAACTTATGATAGCACTGATATCTTGAGACCAGACAAAAAGTTCACAATCAAAAAGTCAGTCAATACTGAACTGATTCATAGTGCTTACTATAGACAGAGAACTATGAAAGAGAGAAAAAAACGCTAAAACCAAAGACCCCAACTTAAGAGAGTTAGTTGCTGAACTGGGGGTGTGTGGTTCAAGTGGTAGAGTACCTGCCTAGTAAGTATAAGGCCCTGGTTCAAACCTTGGTACCACCAAAGGAGAGAGAGGGGAGGAGAGAGAGAGAGAGAGAAAGAGAGAGAGAGAGAGAGAGAGAGAGAGAGAGAGAGAGAGAGAGAGAGAGAGAGAGAAAGAGAGAGAGAGAGAGAGAGAGAGAGAGAGAGAGAGAGAGAGAGAGAGAGACTAAATAAATGGTACTGCAATATATTTGAAAAGGGCACAAAACTAGGGGCTTGGAGTATAGCTCAGTGGTAGAGCAGGTAAGACACTGGGTTCAATCCTCAGTACCAATAAACAACTAAACAAATAAATAAATAGCAAAAAATTAAATGAAAGTAGTGCCAACTGTGAAAACGTATTCCATGGAGTGATCCTACACAGAACTTGATCATTATAACCTCTTAGTCCTACCATTTGTAGGCCATTTCAATGTAGCTCTAACCTACCTTTCCAAGCCTTTCTCCCAGGCCTTGCTTGGAAATTGTTTCGGCCACAGTGGAGCACATGCTAGTGGCAAACCTGTGTTAAACCTTTGCTCTGTTTTCTGGTGCTCCTCTTTTGCAACCACCCAGAATCTTTCTTCTAAAAATTCCTCCCCTAGGTGAACATGGTTGATGTACTTTCTACATAAGAATGAACATAGGATTTTTTTATCACTATAAGAAGGGGAATAAGGTAAAAAGGAGAAAATAGAGGGGATCAACCAATTCAGATTATAATATGTATGCACAAAATGTCATAAAGAAACTCACTGTCTAGATATCTTAAACAAAAATATCATTTTTTCAAAAACATAGAACAAGAAGGTAAAACAGGTCCTTTCTTGGAAGATTGGTACCAGTGGAAGGATAAAAGGAAAGTGTGTAGGATGGTGAATGTGGTGGAAATATGTACTCATGTATGAAAATAGAAAAATGAGACTGTTGAAACTATTCCTGAAATGGGAGGCAGCGGGGTGAATTCAACTATGATATATTGTAAGAACTTTTGTAAATGTCACCAAGTACCCCCAGTAAAACAATAATATGACAATAAAATAATAATAATAATAAAGAATAGAGGAATAGTAACAGAAATTATTTTTTTTAATTCCCCCCTTTATTACCACACATAGGGATCCAGGCAAAAACTCTAAAGCCATTGAGCTAACGATCTCATTCATT